GGGATCGGGTCGAAACCAGCAGTCCAACACCACCTCCCACTCCTGCCTGCTGCTCCTGCTCATCCTGGCCCTGCGGCGCCTGCTGCCACCACTCAGTAGGCTCACTGCCATTCCGCTGCAGTCTCCAGGCTGCGATGGCCAGCCATGAGGCCTGCATCTGGTGCTCATCAGTCAGCTAAACAGTGCTCATACTGTGGGAGCACACTGACCACCAGGGGGCAGCTCCTGCATTGAGCATCTGCCCCCTGGTGGTCAGTGCATGTCATAGCAACTGGTCATTCAGTCGTTCGGTCACTTAGGCTTTTATATAGATAGATAGATAATTTAGCACCTTATTCTAATTAAAAAATTATCTATTAAATGAATTCAAAATAAATATTTTCAACAACTGACTTGTAATCTACTATAATTTCTTAGCTACCACCACATAGTTAATCTAAAGTATAAAAATAGCAAATTTTGATATACTGTTTACAGCCATTTATTCCCTTGTCACAATTATATTAAGCTTTTAGATATTGCTTCACAGGTTATGGAATCTATAATAATAAAAGGGTAATATGCTAATTAGACAGAATGTCTTCCGCACATCATTCCAGATGTCCTTCCTGACCAAGCTGGGGCTGGAGGGAAGCCAGCCCGGGTCCTGGGTGATTGCTGGTGGCTGGAGGAGGGAAGCCCGGGTCCCGGGTGCCGGAGGGAAGCCAGTGCCAGCAGCCAGGGGAAGGAAGGTCTACTCTTGCACAAAATTTCATGCATCAGACCTCTAGTATTTTATAAATGCTCAATGCCCTCAAAAAAATTCTTAAAATATGCCAGCACATTATTCTCAATTTATTTTACAAAATGAGAAAACACAGACTAGCATCTATACTAATAAAAGGGTAATATGCTAATTAGACCAGACGTCTTCCAGACATCCTTCCGGACAAAGCCACAGTGGTAGGGGCCGAGGCAGAGGCAGTTAGGGGTGATCAGGCTGGCAGGCAGATGAACGGTTAGGAGCCAGCGGTCCCAGACTGTGAGAGGGATGTCTGACTGCCGGTTTAGGCCCAATCCTGAGGGCAACTCCCCCTACATGCCCGGATTGGAGAGGGTGCAGGCAGCCTCTAATCTATATCTATCTACCTATCTATCTATCTATCTATCTATCTATCTATCTATATGCATAATATGCAAACCAACTGGATGGCAGATCGACCGGTCACTATGATGCGCACTGACCACCAGGGGGCAGACTCTCAATGCAGGAGCTGTTCCCTCCCCACAACTGGCAGGCCCGATGGGGAACCGGGAACCAGGGGTTGGTGGCAGCAGACACGGGCAGTGTCAGGCCAAGGCGGGTGCAAACAAGTGGGTCCCTGATCGCCCTGCCAGTCGTCCCACACACAGAGGGCAACCGGCAGCGGGAGGTGGGGCCAGCGAGTGGGCGGAAACAGCCAACCTCTCAGTCTCTCCCCCTGGCCAGCAGGTTCTAATCGCCTGATGGGGAATGGGGAACCGGGGGTGGGTGGCGCGGGCAGCGGGGGCAGGCTGGCTGCTGGCAGCCAGGGAAGATCGGCCCTGATCGCAGGCCAGGCCTAGGGACCCTACCCATGCACAAATTTCATGCACCAGACCTCTGGTATACTATAATTGTCTTCATTTGTTCATTTATTCAGTAAGGATAGATCAGTGACCTATGTATTATAGTGCTATGCTAAGGGAAGTGAGATCGATATATAAACAATTCATTTTATCAATGTAGCAAGTGCAGAATGACATGTAAGATGTGGGTATTTCACTTTTAACAGTAGATTCAGTTTCAGGTTATCTATCATATTTTCTAACACTTACGTCAGTTAGTACAGACATGAAGTTAGGAGATTCATCTTCTCAGAGCACCTGTTGGTCATGATAGATTCTTGGCCCAAACTTCACCTACACATTTTTGAGATAAGAACTGAGTGCATATTACTTCTTTAACCATATTTTATAGTTATAGGAAGTAGATAGAAATATAAAGTATAATAAAGAATTCAAAAAATTTATGCTTTTTTAGGTTCTTTTCTTGACAACATATGCTATTTTCTGGCTGTTCCGCTGAAATTTTATGTGAGTACAAGTGATGTAAGAATCTAAGCTTGGAATTTAAATAATAAGATTATTTTTGTCTTAGCTTGAGGTCTTTTTTTTCAAAAGCAAAGCCTAAGACCTTGGTAGAGTTCTTTTATTCAGGAAATGGACCCAGGAAGCAAGACTGAGGTAGCAAGGAGACTGAAACAGAGAAGGAACAAAAGCCAACACAAGTGTGTGTTACTGGGTATTGCTATGAGCAACTGCTAACTGCTATTGGCTCAGGTTCATCCAAACCTCCTGAGCAGCCTACAGAACACCAGTCAACTATTCAGGTCTCAGTGGAGAGAAGGCTGGAACAGTCATCTTTCTGTTCCCTGACCCATTGCGTGGCTCGAAGGCAATGACCTGTCAGGCTCTGTGGCATCTCAGTGCCCTGGGTAGAAAGCAGAAGAATATCCAAGTGTGCCCTTCAAGCTGGACTTTGTCAGAACAAGGTGAGTTACACAAACCCATCCCCTGCCATTGCAACTACAATCAGAGGAGTGCCTCGGGGACGTGACACAGGGCACCAGAGGCATCTCCTTCATCTTTGCTGTTGGGAGATTAAAATGATGGGCAATTGGAGGAGTCTTCTCTGGTGAAACTTACTAGCCCAAGAAATAAAGACTTACAGATACACTAGAAAAATAGGGCAGAGGCTGCCAGTTGCCTACATTAACATGATTCTCCCCTCTCTTTGCTGCTATAAAACCCCAATTTTGTTTAAAGTAGTAATGCATCCAGCTAAAAGACTACAGTCTGTATCCTTGCTTTCAGCTAGATGTGGCCACGTGTTAATTTCTTGCCAAAATGTGAAAGCAGGGTATTGTATGGGCTTCTGGAAAGAGACTGGGACTTTACTTTTCCTGCCTTCCCCTTCCTGCTGCCTATGAGGAAGACACATTCACTAAAGCTTGAGAAGCCATCTGGCCCACGATGAGGTGTTACGCTAAGAGTGTGGTGGGTGCAGCAAGATGTTGACTACTTCCCTGATGATGTGGAGTTCTCATACACACCCTGGACCACCAAATCTGAACGCCTTCTATGGGAGAGAAAAATAATTTTTTTAAGTCACCTGCCATTTTGTTTTTCTATTATATTCAACCAAAACTCATTCTAACTAATGTGTCAAGTCTAGAACCCACCTACTTCCAGGCAGTGAAGGTCATTGATTGACAATCCCTGCCCATGCACACAGAGCTTGCAGTCAGCTTTCTTGTTTCTCATTTTTTTTTAATTTTTATTTATTAATTTTAGAGAAAGAGAGGAAGGGAAGGGTAAAGAA